TTTTGAAAAAAATTTTTTAAAAAAAAAAATATAAAATTAAAAAAAAAAAAAAAAAAAAAAAAAAAAAAAATAATTTAGTTTTTCATTTGTTCAAGTGCTATATTAATATAAATTTAATTTTAAAATTTTCTTTTTTGGTGAACTATTTAATATATAACGAATTTAAAAAAAAAGTAAAATTACAACATCACTTAAAAAATATAAATTATATAATATTTAATGAAGAAAAAATACTATAATGGAAATAGTTTATTAAATTTTAATATAGATTAAACTTACTGTATATTTGCATATTTAAGAATTTTAAAAAAATATTACTAGTTACTTATGATATAATGGCAACACTTATTAATGATTCTTACATCTTTATATATCTTTCTTAATTTTTTCTTCAAAATTATATAAATAATCTTTATTCACATATTTTGTTAAAATATCATCTCTTTTATTTGTATCATATAATTCATTGAATTCGTGTTTATTACAAATTGTTAATAATTTAAAATCCTCCTTCTTTGCTATAAAATATCTAAAATATATATAAAAAAAAAAATATATAAAAAAATATATAAAAAAATATATAAAAAATAATAAAGATTAAATCAAATATGTTATAAGACTTCATATAATTGATGTAATGAAAATAAAAAATACAAAAAAAAAAAAATATATATATATATATATATATATATATATATATATATATATATATATATATATATATATATATATTACTTCCAATAGTTATAAGAACGCATAACATTTGTATCGTTTTCATAGTAATCATCAGGTCTTTCAAAAATATAAATAATTTTATTTTTTAAAGAGGATAGGGAAAAATTAAAAGGAAAAACTTGTATTTTCCTAAATTCTACATATTTTTCATTTTTATTTAAATAATTGATTATGTATTTGTAATTTTCATTTTCTTGATTTGTTGTCTTTTCAGAATTATGAGGAAAAAATAAAACTGATGAAATAAAATGTTTACTGTAATTATTTAAATTATTTAATACATCACTGTATGAAAAAGTAAAAAAAAAAAGACGAATAGTTAAAAAAAAATAAAATAAATCATCTTTATTAATATTTATTTCATCATCTGAAATGGAATTTATATATTTATTTAAGTTTTCAAGACATCTAATTTTCATTTTTCTACTTTTATCAGAAAATAACCAAACATTTATAAAATAAAATAATATACTAACATTTAAAAATGATGGAGATTTTATTATAATATCACTTAGATTACAATAATTTTCATATATTTCATCTCTTATAGATAAATATATTTCACTATTATCTATGGAATTTTCACATATACTATACAAAACATTAGATAGTGATTTATAAAGTAAAAAAAATTGAACATTTATTTTTTTCTTGTTATAATAATACTGATTTATTCTAAAATAATTCTCTTTCTCTGTTACTGCTTCATATTTTATAATATAATTTTTATTTATATCTAGATGTTTTTTTAAATTGGATATTATATCAAATATATAATAAAATAAAATTTTTGGTGGAATGCGAATACCACATATAGATAATATCTTCATTAATTCTGTTTTTTCATTTGTGATTTTTATATGATCATTTATGTCTTTTAAATTCTTTTTATTATTATCTTCTATATATTTTTTTATATTTTCTGTTTCTTCATTTAATATTCTTTTTTCATCTGGACAAAAAAAAATATCTTCAAGTGTAACATAATTAGAGAGTTCTTTAAAATAATTTTTTATTTCTTTTTCATGTTGTTTCCTTCTTTGAAGAAAGTATTCATTATCCTTTGAATAGTAATCTAAAATTCTTTTTTTTAACTCTTCTATCTTTTTTATATAAGAAAAATGTTTCTTATAAGTTAAAAATACATTATTATAACTATGTTTAAATAAATTATTACAAAAAAAATTTCTATGATATTTTACTTTTGTATTCATAATAAATTTTAAAAAAAGATAAAATATATAAAAAAAAATAAAAAAATATATATATACCAAAAAATTTACCAAATATATTTATTTAAATATATACAAACATAACTTTTTTTTTTTTTTATCTCTTTTACAAAGATATATAAATGTAAAATCTTATTTGAGAAATTGTGTAAATTATAAAAACAAGGTTTAATTATAAAATTAGAAATTACTTTCTTATTTATTTTGCATTTAAGTATTGTAATTCTTAATTATATATATCTTCAATATTTATATATTATAATTTTTCTTAAATAAAAAAAATATATAAAATTATTATGGAATTTTCATATTTATTTTATTTTATTTTATTTTTTTTTTCATTGATAATTCTCATTTTTTTACTACTTAACTTTTTTCACTATCTTCTCTATTTAAATAAATGAATTGTATCTTTTATATTAAGAAAAAAAAATATATAAAATTTATATTAAAAAAATAAAATTGTACTTTTGTTAAATTGAAAATTTTTTAAATATCCTAGTGATACTTCAACAATTGTATATTTTTTTTATATTCAAAATTTTTTCTAATATTGAACAATTCTAAATAAAAATATACACATATATGAATTGATTAAAATTATTTATTTTTTTTTTAAAATAAATTAAGAATTTTTAATGTGAATTTAGTTTTTTTATAGATTATAATTTTAAAAAATATATGTTATTAAGAACATTATGAAATATATAAATGTAATATGTTTAATATATAAAAAAAAAAAAAAAAGAAAACAAAACAACATAAAAAAAAAAAAAAAAAAGAAAAAGAAAAAGCATAACTATAAACATTAATAATGAATACTAAAAAAAAAAAAAAAAAAAAATAAATAAAATAAAATAATATAATATTAGTAACATATTTTAAAAAAATGAAACATACTATTTTGTTTTTTAAGGAAAATATACATTATCATACTTAAATTTATTGCTATGATTTATTGTATTATTATTAACTACAAAACACTTAATAATATGAAAAAAATAAAATTGCAAATGACCTATATGTAATATTTTTATCTATGTGTGAAACCACTTGTTTAAAATGATAAGAAGAAAAAATACAAATAGTAAATATACATAAAAATTCACAAAAAAAAAAAGAAAAAGAAAAGTTAAAACTTTTTAACTAATTTGTCTTTATAAACAAAAAACGAATTAATTACATCGTTAAAAACTAAATTTAAATTATAACTCACATTACAATAACTGAATATATTCGTATTAGTTAAATTATAAGCGTCAAATATTCTATAAAATTTTTGCTTGCTATCATTGTCATTGTTATATGCGTCCTCTTCAAAAGAATTTTTTTCAAAAAAATACGTTTCAATATCAGCATTAAATCGTATATGTTTGTCACTCTTAACTTTTTGATTATTTTTAATTTTTAAGGAATCATTTGATAAAATATTTTTTTTTAGTATAGATTTTAATGGTATTTTTTCTGATTTTGTAAAAGTATCATTTATTTTTTTATTCATTTCATTGACACATGTATAGCTGCAATTGCTATCTCTATAATTAATGAAACTGTTATTGGGGTTATTATAAATATTATTATTTGAATTGGTTTTTATATCGTTTTTTATATTATTATTAGTATATTTATTTTTGCTGTTATATAAATCGTTATCTAAATGTTCAGTTGTATTACTATTTACATTATTATTTTTATTACAATTCATATTATTATTTTTTTCTACAGAATTTTCCTCATTATATGATACATTGGAGAAATGTGTAAAAAAATTATATTTTTGCTTATATGAATAATCAAAATTTGTGTTTTCTTTTGTTTCAAGATAAGTTTCTGTATCTTGATCATTTTTCATTTTATCTTTCGCTTTTCTCTTTATATCTTCATTCTTAATTTGATCATTTTCTATATTTTTTTCCTTATTTTTTTTTCTTTTTTTTATTATATAGGGGATATATGCTTCCCTTTTTTTATCATATTTATTTGCATCTTGATTATGATTTATATAATTTTTTTTATTCAAATCAATATTTCCTTTGGAAAATTTATCATGATTTAATTTGTCTAAATTATTATTTTTTAAGTATTTAAAATTATTATCTATATCACTTAGTTTTTTTTTTTTTAACTTCAGTTTACTTGAATCTTTGTTAAATCTTATATTTTTTTTTATTTTTACATTTTTAGAATTACTATTTAGAAATTTATTAAGAATTTCATTAATTTTTTGTACTATAAATATTTGTATTAATATAATTAAACGACTAAAAAATCCCACAGCTGTCAATATAATTAAAAAGGAATAATAAACTTTTATATAATGAAGTATTTTTTTCGGAATTTCTATAAAATTTACAGTAAAATTTTTTAAATAAAATAGCAATATTAAATAAAATAATAAAGTAATATGTGTTTGCAAAAATTTTTCTTCCATTTTTGTTTTAATGTATGTCTTATTTTTTTCAATATTTAATGAATCAAAAAAATATATATATATATATAAATATATATATATATATATATATATATATATATATATGTATATTAGGATAATTTAATTATTAATTCTAAATTATTTTCCTTTTTTTTATATTTCATTATTTTTCTTATACAAAATTTCAACATTTTTTTTGTTTTTTATTAAAATATATACAAAACATTTTGTGATGTCATTTAATTTTTTTTTTTTTTTTTTTTTTTTGCTTCAATAACTAATAAAATATTTATTTATATAAATGTATAAAATATACTTCAATTTATTTTCAATTTTAAAAATAAAATAATATGTATAAAAAATATATAATATTTAATGAAGAATACACTAACACATATTAAAATGAATACACATATTAAAAAAATAAAATCAAATAAAAAGATTTTATTTAATTAATACATAAATATTAACAGTAAGAAAATATATATATATATATATATTGTCATAACATAGGATTTTTTTATTTAAAAAAAAAAACTATATTTAATATATAATGTTATTAAATATATATATATTTTCAAATATATAGTAAACAAAATAACAGTTTTTATATAATAAAAACAAATGAGAAATGAATATTCAAAAGTTTCATATATTGCAGGTAAATATTATATAAAAAAAAAAAAAAAAAAATTGAGTGAAAAGCTAAGATATTTTAAGAAAACATATTAAAAACTAATAATTTATATAAGAAAAAAAAAAATATATATATTATAAAATTATAAATAAACAAAAGGTGAAAATAAAAGAAAAAAGAGTTAAATGCTAAAAATTTTATTTGAATTTATAGTGCATGAGTTTGAAAAAAAAAAAAAAATAATGAAAATTAATGGTTTTAATAAATTTTATTTCTATTTTATTTCAATCATACATATATATTATATAAATAAAATAATAATAAATAATTTATATAAATTTTTTTATTTTAAATTATATTTAATTTGTTTAATTATATAAGATTTATTAAAGAAAAAAAAAAAAAAAAAAATTTTTTTTTTTTTTTTTTTTTTTTTTTTGTTTGAGCAGTTTAACTTTTTTTACATATAATTAATATTAAAAAAAAAAGTTACATTTACATTAAAATACAAAAATAATCTACAAAATTTTTATTACATATTTAAAATAGTATATATATACATTCATAAAATAATAATAAACTTTCAGTTTTCATGGAAAATAAATTTTTATCATTTACAGAATGATTGCACAAAATTTTATATTCTTAACTGTTACTAAAAAAAAAAAAAAAAAAAATGAATGAATTAGTAAATACACATATATATATATATATATATATATAAAGAACCAAATAAATAATGAATTAATAAATTAAAGAATAAGGTAATATTGTCATTCTCTTTATAGTCTAAATTATATATAATGAAGAATATATGAGAAAAAAAGAAAAAAAACATTAAAATATATCTAAATTAAAATTATATTTCTCCTTTATTAGTATAATAAATAACCATTAAGTTTAGTTAATTATAATACACTTGTTTTAAAAAATGTTATAATTTGCGTACAACTTATTAAATAATTTTCCTCTTCATTTTTTTTTTTAGATTATTATTAAAATGAATATTATTAATTATATTATAAATATAGAAATCAATAATTACTTTCCTTTTATGGTTTAATATCTTTTGTTAATTTATTTTAGTTTTTTCCTAATTAATCTTATATTTCAATTAAATAAGCGAAGATATAAAATAATTATTTCATTTATTATATTTAATGGTATACCTTAATTTTTTTTTTTTCTCAAAATAATTTCTATAAAATAATATTTGGTATGATAAACTAAAAGAAATGAAAATTATTACTTTTTCATTTTTTTTCTATTTTTTTCTCTTTTTGGTTTAGATTTATTTTATATACTTACAAAAAGAGATATGTATAGAAAACTATAAATAGTTGCATATTTAAAATAATTTGTTAAGAATTAAAAGTAAGTTAAGTAACTACTAAAAATATGACACAATTTTATAATTTTAAAAAATAAATTTATATAAATGGAAACAATTACAAATCAAAGGATAAATCATAAAAAAGGAGTAGTATTTAAATAAAAAAAAAAAAAAAAAAAAAAAAATGTATAAAGATATAATAATCAATTAAAAATATATATAGTATAAATTTTTAAATAAATAAAAATAATATATTTAATATAAATAAA